AGAGGCCAGCCAGAAGAGAACAATTCATTAACCTTTTGGTTGTTGATACAATGAGAAAGATGTTAAATCAATCCTAATTTATCTTCAGTTTGTGTAGTTTTCAACTATCATTTAGTCCAGAACTATAGTTGGAAAAAATATTGAACTTATGAACAGAAACTATTACTTTGTTTTTGTGATCTAGGACAGTATTTTGCTTTTTTTTCTTTTTTTCAAGAGAGGAACTTGCCAGCATGGTTAAATAATGCGTTGGCAACAAGGCAACAAGGCCACAAGCCACAAGGGTGTTTCTCACCCCCCTGCACTATTATTACATAGTTCAGACTTTTACCTGCTTCCTTGAGAAGTGGGCTTGATTTCCAGCTGAACTGCTTGCCTTTGAGCTAGGAAAGTTTAGAAGATTCGGAGAATTCCAAAAATTTGAAAGTGAATATGAGTTCAAAATTTAGCTTTCTTGAAGTAATTTTTATGACTAACTTGATGATTTGATTCAATGGTAAAACAACCAGCTTTTCAGCTACTTACCTGAGATAAGATGGCCAGTCTAGATACTTTTCCATGGCCTCCTTTGCCCAACCTCCAAAAGGTGAGACTCCAACATGAGGGCAACCTCCTGTTGTATTAATAAACAAGAAGGCAGAGGGTAATGGGGAAAATGTTGAAAAAGGCAGAGATATCAAATTTCTAAAATTTTTGCTATCAGTCTATCTTAAAATATGGCCAGTTAGAATGTGGGGAAAGATGTTAAACTATGTAGATCAAAAAGGCAATTTGGGAAAATGCAAAGAACTCTTGACTCTGGGTCAGAAGACCTGTGTTCCAGACACAGGTTTGACATTTTCTGTTTTTAGGTAAGTCCTGTAAAACTTTTATGAGCCTTGTTTTCCTCACTGTAAGAATCAAATGATCTCTTATATGTTAAAAGTATGGAATAAATTATCAAATAATATGTAACTATAATATATTAGCATCTCATTTCTATCACAAGATATGTGTAATTCCCACCCCAACTATAACTTTCATTCCTTTCCAAAATTTAACATTGTTCTTGCTAACATTTATTTATTTATTTTTATCTCATTAGGCCCACAACTGCAGCCACAACTCTCTCTTCACTTTACCACAAATATAATATACTAATTCATGTTTCTGTACCATTTTATGTTTTGTCCCTTTATACCTTATCCAACTTTCACCCATTCTTCAAGGTCCAAATCAAATCTTAAAAAAATCATTATTGCCAAACGTGTAACTTTTAGAATAGACCACATTATCTACAATTTGGTACTCAAAGTGAGGTCCAAGGACCGGCAGCATCTACATCTCCTGGGAGCTTGTTATTAATGTCCCAACCCAGATCCATGAAATCAGAATTTGCTTTCTAACAAGATTTCAAGATGATTTTTAGGCACACTACTGTTTGATGAAGTATTTATCTACCACACTCATACTGGAAAGTAGTCATCTTACAAGATCATCTGTTTCATTTGTATAGCTATTTTTCCATAGGACTATTAAAAATAAGACTTATATGTCTATAAGTCAGGGAGAAATTTTTATAATAATGCTCATTGTTATGAGCTTCCTAGAAAATAATTCTATTCACTCTCATTAGAAAGGAATATACTATTACAAACTGAATTTGCTGAAGGAGACATAATAGATATATTCTTATCCTTGAGTACTATACAAGAGTAAAAATTGTATATGTGGGTACTTATCTTTTATGTATGACCATAGTATTCTATTCTACTTTTTCATTCAATACAGAGAAGCAAACAAGAATGATAAGTGCTACATCATTATCTTTGAAGATGTCAAACCTTGTGTTCTTTTAAAAAAGGAAATTAAATAAACCTATATTCTGTTCAAATGGAAAGCTGAAATGTGATGACATTTCAATGTGGAAATGAATTTGACCAAGCTGAGCACTTTTATCAATATGTTTTCATTTACAGTTCAGATGCTAATTGAAACGGTAGTCTGGGGAATCTCAGTATCCAATAAGGGCAAGCTGAGTTGGTCCCTTGACTTAGTTCATGGATTAAACTTCATGAAAGGAAGTAGGTAGATCCAGCCAAATGGTCACATGTTTCAGAAAGTTGATAGTTAATGTCCTATTAGATTATAAGAATCAAAGATTTGAAAGTGATGATTCTAATATTATATGCCAAATTACTACAAATACTCACTAATCTAGATTCCAGTGGATAAAAGTAAACATTGATATCTCTTTTCACTTCTGCTAAAGTTACATGATCAGTAATCACAAGATACAAATGATGTGTTTGGGGAAGTTTGCCGGATTCGTAGAAAAGCCAAGCAATGATTTATTCCAGAGGATGCTCGCTGTGCTACAAATCAACCTGTCTGTTTGAGAAGTCTCATTTTCAGCTAGTTGATGTGATTCAGAGTTTTCAGTGTGACATAAGAGGCCAGCCAGAAGAGAACAATTCATTAACCTCACAGAATCATCAGTAAGATCCTGCATAATTAGATCAGTTTATACATTTTAAAAAGAATCGGTATAAGGGGTTCAATAGCAGGTCATCTTCTAAGCTGGGTAGGAATGTAAGTCGGCCTATTCAACTTAACTTTTAACGTGAGTGTTCACTAACAGAAAGGAATTGTGATTTCCTTTTTAAAAAATATCCATGTTCTTTGAATTGTACCAGATTTCTATCAGAAGCCAATATCCTAAATCTATGTGGTCCTGATTATGGCATTAACTATAGAAGTATGACATTAACTCAATTTAAATTGTGTAATTTCTGTGTCTGTGCTCGGAGGGCAGGTTGAGAGAGGAACACTAGTGTGCTGATAATACAGATACTAAGACACTTGCATTTTACCCAAAAAGGAAAAATCCCTAAGGTTCTATCTTAATATTTACAGTTTCTAGGTACCTTTCAGACAGTTATTGAAAAATTATATAGGTAGCATCCTGGCCCTATGGTAAATCTGTATGACATTAATCACAAAAATCACATTTAAACTACATGAAAAGTTCTGTAGCATGTATTTTATGCCACTATTTACAAATATTCAGGCCTAACTTAAAATCAGAATGGTGGGTAGGGTGTTCTAAAAATCTGTTTGCTAAACAGGTGCTGATCTTTAAATGGAACAGTGGTGTTTTTGATTTTGTTGTCAGAAAACAATTAACTTGCCATACTTTGATTTTATTAGTTGAATGCATGACCTGCAATGGGGAAAGTTATCGAGGCCCCATGGATCACACAGAAACAGGCAAGATTTGTCAGCGCTGGGATCATCAGACGCCACACCGGCACAAATTCTTGCCTGAAAGGTAAAATATTACTGACTTGTGTTTCAATGATTCTTTTTACAAATTTTTATTTTCTTCATGACACCCTGCCATGGAAATTCTCTTTAAATCATGTTTTCCTGATAGAGCATGAACATAAAATTTAGAACTCCCTGACTCAGAATTCTTCAGACAGTATTGCCAGCCATTATGTTTGGAGGAGGTAGTCTTAGGGCAAAGGGATTTATGATGAGGTATTTGAGAACACTGACTACTACACCTTTAACTAGGCTTGGCTGATTGGGTTAAGAATTCCTAAAATGGTCCTGAAGGTAGAACCATCAGAGGGGAGCATAACTAAGCTTATGTTAATGCAGAGTAGAAGCGCTAACAGAAGCTTCCTCTTTCTCCACCATAGTGGGCTGGGGGTGGGGGGCAAGAGAAGGCCAATTCAGTAATGACCACTTTGACAGGCCTGAGCTGTGGGTGGAGGCATTATTACTAAATGCGATCAAATTTCCTCTAGAGAAGCATCTTCAGAGACTCAGGTACTCACATGTAACACCATGACATAGGCAATGCTCATAGAAAGGGAACGGAACATGAAACAAACAACTCTTCATTTGCTTTATCCTGGTGTATTTTGAAATTGTCAATATGGACAGCCAATTTGGAGAATTCAGGCATCTAAGTCTACCTTTTCCTCCAGGAGTAGGTTTTAACTT